GACCCCGCATGACCCCACAATTCCTTCTGACATCACCAACCCATCCTGACTTTGCTGGCTCCGCAGTGCCCACGGCCTTGGGGCCCAGCTCTGGGTCCGGTAAGGTGAGAGGCAAGTGGGACTGATGGACTCCTGGGTGCAGGGGCCCAGGCATCTTTTAAAATCCCTCGTATCACCTTGTTTGTGTGGGGCACACAGTAGGTGCACGTGGAACCCCCACTGACTGTTTAATTGGTTGGGCTCCGTCCCTGGATGCACTACGGTCAGTTTTCTCACATCTTCCTCACTTTAGGTGACTAGGATGTGAGGGATCCCCTGCTGAATTTAAACCATGTTTATCAAACAGATGCACAGAGTTGAAGAGCTATCCAGAACTGAAAGGCACAGGACGGTGAGCACTCTCCCTCCCTCCAGTCCTCTCCTCCCACAGAAGTGCTCCCCAGAAAACCACATCACCCTTTTAGCCTTTGCTTTTGGGCATCACCTCCTGTGTCAGTTTCCCATGGGTGCTTCAAAAATTACCACAGATTTAGTGGCAACAACACAAATCTGTTACCTTACAGTTCTGGGGATCGGAAATCCGAAATGGGTTTCACCGGGCTGACATCTAGGTGTTGGTGGGGCTGTGTTCCTTCTGGAGAGTCCCGGGGAGAATCTGTTTTCTTGTCTTTTCCAGCTTCTAGAGCCTGTCCGCAGTTCTTGGCTCGTGGCCGGTCCTCCACCCTCAGCCAGCAGTCACTTCACTCTGACCTCTGCCTCCACGGCCTCACCTCACCCTCTGACCCTCTTACCTTCCTCTTGCATCTTTTAAGAATCCTTGTGATTACACTGGGTCCAGGAGGCCATAATTTAGCCCCTAACACTGCGCCTCCATGTCCTGATCTCTAGAGGTTGTAATGATAACCTTCTAAAAGGAAATTATGGGGAAGAGCTTTGCAGACTGTAAAGTGCTGTGCAAATAGAAAGAGTTGCTGCTTCCTTCGTCCTCATGACCTGTGCCTAGTTCCCTGCTGTGACTGTTTAGCTCTGGCAGAAATACCAGGCAGAGTCAGACCCCTAGAAGGTGGGGAGAACCAACATGGGGCGGTGGGGTTGGGGCCCGAGATGGCGGCGCACTCTTCCTGCATCGGGCCTCTCTTCCCTGCTGCCCCTGCTGTGTGTGCTGACGCTTGCTCAGGGGACCTTCAGTGCGCACCTGCTCTGTGCCATGATGTGGGGAGGGGTTGTGGAGGAGGAGGGAAGGGTGGCCCACACCAAGATGTAAAAGGCCCAAGAATTCTGGGTGCCTTCAGCCCTCCAGGTACTTAGAAGTGATGGCGTCTTTACTGGGGGACCAACAAGGTTTCTGGTGACCAGTTTTCCCTTCATTGAATCACAACAGATTCTAACTAATGTTACTGCCCAAGCAAGCATTTGCTGATGGTGGTCGGGGTACCAAAGATGGATTTAGTTCCCTTTGGACCATTTGCTTCATTTTGATGATATCATTTGTCAAAATGTATAGACATGCTCTTGCTTTCTGAATCCTCCTTTTATTTCTAGAAAAGTGAGGAAGGAAGAAAGGAAGGAAGGTCATATTTTTGTCCTCCGATGATAAATGGTAAATCTCTTCCTCGGTGCCCAACCTCGGCTTTGAAATCAGCAGGAGTCTGAACAGATGAAGAGACAGGAGTCAAGGGCATGTCCAAACAGAAAAACTTTTCCCACTTTGATAATCATGTTTAATGCTTATGTCACCTTGGGGTTCTTAGTCAGGTGGCTGAAGTCAACTGGTTTGGCTCTACCAAGGTATCGTGTTGGGCCTGAGACAAATGTTCATTTGACATGAATGAATGTAAGTTGGGACAATTTTAATATCCCTTAGGACTTCCCTCAAAGAAGTGTATGTGAGGGAGGCCGTTTTTTCACTCCTGGCCAGCTCTGTGGTCAAGAAGCGGCCCCTCATAGCCAGAGCATTCTCATGACGGCTGGAGCCCACAGTCCGCCTCCTCCCTCCTCCAAGCCCAGTGTGAACAAGGTGCTGGGGCAGGAAGGCTGGGTCCAGGGGAAGCGCCAAGGCCAAGGGGCATGTAAGGGGCTCTGGTGGGTCCTGCTGACAGGCTGTCTTCTCCTGGGGACCCGAGGTGGGGTTCCACATTGGGCACACCTGGGACAGGGGATCAAGCACGCAGCCCATTTCCTGACAAGCGCACGGGGGCACTGAGCCAAGCCTTTCCCTTCAGACCTCCGGGCCCAAGTGCGGGCCTGAGGCTGGGTCACTCAGCAGCGGTGTTACGATTGGACATGCCACGCAGCTGAGATGTAGAGTCTGGCTTTATGCAACTTTGGGCAAGTTCCTCCTACCCGTCTGGGCCTGTTTTCTCATCTCTGAAGTGGGGAAGGCGAAGCCTGCCCTGCAGAGTCGTTAAAAGATAGGAGAGATGGGGGAGACACTGGCGCCTTTGTGGGATTCGCAGACACGAGCTGCTTTCATTACCACATCTTCTCAGACGAGGTTGACTCCGGATTTCCTGCTGGAATGTTCTTCCATGCCTCAAGGGTTTCAGTGGGCGGAGTGCAGAGTGATGACAAAGACGTTTAAAAGCAGGAAAACCACAGGAAGCCTCCACTGACGCCGGCTGATCCAGCCACCACTTGAGGCCCTGGCAAGTGCTGGTCAAGGGCCTGGAGGCGACAAGATGACACCAGGGCGGTGTGCAGCCTCGCAGGGCGCGGCTGTCTCGGCGGGGAGGGGGCAAGCCGGCTCCAGGCCCCTCCGGCGCTCTCGTCCTCGCCCCCTGCACCCTGTGCGGGAGCCATGGCGAACCGCAGCCTCGGTTCTGAGGCGTGACTCCAGGCGGCGCGGGACAGAGGACGAGCTGTCTGAACTGCTCTCGCGATAAGACCCTCGCAGGGGTGGTGCCAGCGGCCGATCGCCACGTTGGGCGGAGCTACGAGGCGGAAGAGACGCCCGGGCTGCCGAACACGTGATCGCGCTCTCGGGGCTCCGATTGGACAGATGCTCCCTGGCCACGCCCTGAGGGCCAGGTCATTCCTCCCTGGAGCCGCGGGAGAAGTGGCGTCCGCGCGCTCACTTGGGTGGGGCAGCTCGGGTGTCTTGCAGACCAAGTCAAGTATGGGTCCGTCCTACTGGGTCTCCGGTGGCGGACACCTCAGCTGCGCTGAGCTTGGCGTCCTGCAGGGCAACTCCCCGGCAGGGCTTTCCAGAGCATGCTCCAGGGCTCCAGGTGTGCTCTAGGAAAGCAAGCCCTCCGTGCGGGGTCACACCCCCGCTGTCGCCTGTGTCGCGGTGCGGGAAGCCGGCTCTCACCGCTCTGAGGGCACCCTCCCGGGAGAATCCTTGCAGAGGTCATCATCTTCCCCTCCCCGCAGTATCCGAGCCCGGCCCCAACTTGGCTTTTCACTCTTGTTCCCCTTAGGGAACGCAGATCGGCCCTCGAACGCCCCACTCCTCCCCCGCCTGCCCCGGGTTCCCAAGTTGGATCGGCAGGGAGGACTCTACAGTGAGACCTCTACTGTGACTCCTGGGTGCAGGCACTATTTCTCTCTTTCCTGGCAGAAGGTGGCGGGCTGCTGCTGGCCCTCGTTCCTGCTTGCGTCTGGCAAATCACTGATGTGACTTCTGAGGGAATTTACAGCAGAGCCTGCCCAGGATTCCGACGAGCTCTGCTTGAATGAACAGCGGGTCCCCCTCCTCCACATCCTCCTCCAGCTCTCTGCAGCTCCACGCTTGGTGTAAACACCCACTCAGGAGACCCTCAGCAAATAAGGAACTCTGGAAGGGGACAGAGAACAGCCCTTCCACAAGTGTAGTGCAGTGTACCACGGCTTCCACTGCCAAGCGGTCCCAGTTCGGCACTTATTTGTCAAATACAATGACCCTATGAGTTAGATGTCACCTTCATTTTGCCTAGGAGGACTCTGAGACTCAAGAGGTAAGGCTTAAGAGGTTGTGTGCGCATTTTTTCGTTCTTCACGGTAGCTGGCACACTGCCCACTGCACAGTAGACTGGTCATTGACAACTGACCACATGAACTGGGCTGTGAGGATCAGTCTCCTGGCCAAGCCCAGCAGCCACTGGGCTGTGTCCTGACAGGAAAAGTGTCTCCGCTCTGCTCTGATTGCACCTACTTGTTAGCAAGGAGCAGCACTGGTTAGACCTTGTGAGATCTACTGCTGAGTTTTCTTCCCGTTCATCAGCTTCTAAGGTATTACCTGTTTTGGTTTTAAACAGTTGAAGTCCTTTGTGGTTCCCTCCACTTTCTAACCAATACCATGTTTCCTCAAAATGAGTAGGGGTCCTCAGCCCCTGTGGGACCCCTGTTTCCACTGGCTTTTTTGGGGGAAACAATATAAACTTAACTTGAGAGCTTCTGGTCTCAATCCAAGGATAACACACTGGATACTTCATTCCATAGAACTCCAGATCCCCAGTGTGAGAGAAGAGCAACAGGAGACAGGAAACCCGACTGTGTTTCCCAGTGGGCTGTGGGAGGGTCCCTGACCTAGGAGACAGGGTCCAGGTGGCCATTTTCAGGGGAAGAGGTGGAAAAATTGAGGGCTATATGGCCAAAAGGCAGCGCCATGGAAGAGGAGGAGAGAGAGAGAGACAGTTAGTTTAGAGCCTTTGCAATGTAAAGCACTGTGCTGTAGCTTCAGAAATTCCTACCCTTCTGGGGTTGATTTGTTTTATTTATTTTTGCTTCAACCCTCATAGGAAGACTTTAAGGCCCTGCAGTTATATTCTGGCTACCTCAGTTTATCAGAATACAGTTGTTAAAAACCACAGTTAAATAGATCACAGAACACTGGAGTAGAGTTGAATTTCTTCCCAAAGTGCAGTTCAGTTGAGTAAGCCCTGGAAGGAAATGGGGCAGCAATTCTGTCCTTCTCTAGATGTGGTCCATACCCCACCTACATCAGAAGGTCAATCCCTGTGTCAGAGTAGGACCTCGTGAATCAGACACCCTGGGGCAGAGTTTGGGAATCTGCAATTAATTTGTTTCCAGAAGCTGCAGAAGCACCATAAAATCAGAGAACCATTTCTGTAGGCCTCTGCATTTATTGTTTGGTTTAGGACATGGAAGGTGGACGGAAGGCAGAGACCATGGTCAAGGTCAGGAGCTTCTGGCTGACTCCACTGCTTCTCAGGCTGCAAGGCCACTCCAGTCTTGCTCAAATGGCCTCACGGTTCCACTGTAGTTTCTTTGTAACAAATAGAAAGCAGAGTCATCTCCTGAAAGAAGGGAAAGATGAACTAATGACTGTGTTTCAAAATCTATGTCCAAGTGAAACCTCTAGCTACCGTTCCTGGTGTATTCCTTTATTGATTCATGCTTTCCCTCTTTCTCTTACTTGCCTCTCTCTTCCACACCCTTCCATCATTGCCTTCACCTTTTTGTCTATTGCCTGGTTGACCAGAACTCTCCCTTTAGCTGGGATTTCCTGGCACCTACACACAAGGTTCTGTGAGATGGTTTGCACCTGCTTGCGGATAATTGGCTGTATGAGCGGCAGAGTTTGTCCAAGACTTGCTTTGTTATGCTTGGGTAGAGAGGTTTTGTTTCTGTGGGTGGAGGGGAGCATGGGAGTAGGATATCCTCAACTATATGTAAATTTTGTTGCTGCAAAATCTACCTGAAAGGGTCTAATTAGACATGCATGGCCAGTTGGGCGTGGGACTACCTACAACATCCAGCAGTTGGCGTCAGAAGGGTTGATGTGGGCTCTTAGGGAGCTTTCAGCACAGTCACCATTCTGTTGATGTCTCTTCCAAGGATCTTGCTCCCTTTGATATACAAGAAAAAGGCTGTGGGATTTGGATGAAGCGCCAGAGAGTGGGAAGGATGGCAAAGCTTGTGCTTAGGAGGTACTCAGGACTCCCTTGGTTGAGCTGTTAAGACTGACAAACGGAGACCACCCCCAAGTCTACTTGGATGTTGTAATTTCTGAGTTTGCTGAGAGAAGGCAGAAGGCATTCTTGGACTGTTTTCTTTGTTGAATATAAAACAAAACCCTAGTCTTTAATAATCTTTGATCTCTGTCATGGATCAGTCTGCAGGCAGATTTGGGGTGGAAAGTCCACAAGTCATGTAGATTGGTGCAGATGGTGCAGGCAAGCGTGAGAAAGCTCCCTGGGCGGGGGAGGTTCTGAAATATCACTTCCCCTAATCGAGAATTAGACCCTAGGTCTTGCTACTCCAAGTCTGCTCCTCAAATAGTGTCACCGGGAGCTTGTTGGAAATGCAGGGTCCCAGGCCCTTCCCCAGACCTGCCGGATCAGAGCCTGCCCTGTAACAGGGTCCCAAGGGGACCACATACACAAAAGGTTGGAGAATTGCTTCTTTTGGTAATAGTGTAGGTGTACAAGCTGGACACAGGGGCCAGTGGGAGAAGGACATCAAATTACTTTTGATAACAATATCAAGACAAAGATCAGGAGGAAGAACATCTATTCTTTTCTACTTTGTGGAAGAGTTGCAAAGGGTTTCTTTCTATGAAAAACAAAACAAAAACCAAACCTTCCTAGGTCCTCTACAATTCATCCTTAGCCTCCCAAGCCAACCTATGTCTCGTTGCCTTCCGATGTAGATCCTACCTGGTCTCACCTCTCTCCTCTCTTTCCCCGAGACCACCATGCTCATACTTACCTAGCACCACATTTATGACCCATCTCTCCACAGCTTCTTCAGTCTTCTCCGTTGGTACCTTCTGCTTATAATTTTCATGTCATTTGAAAAATCCTTTTAATTATTTTTTCTAATTTTCTTGAGAAATAATTGACATACATTCCTTATAATTGTACGGTGTACAGCATAATGGTTTGATTTACATATATTTTGAAATAACCACAACAGGTTAACACCCTCATCTCCTATAGATACAATAAAAAGAAAAGAAAAAAAATTCCTCTCTGTGATGAGAACACTTAGGATTTGCCCTCTTAACAACTTTCAAATGTACCATATATCCGTGTTAACTATAGTCATCACATTGTACATTACATCCCTAGTATTTATTTATCTTATAACTGGAAATTCGTACCTTTTGTTGACTTGAAAAACAAAAATGCACGAGGTGAGAGCTGTGAGTTCCAGTTTCAGGGGACTGACTGAGGACTATAGCCTGGGAGACATCCTCTCAGATAGCTCAGAGAGGTGGGAGGAGAAGTCAGTTTACGTGTGATTTTGGCAAAGGGGTACATGCAATCAAACATACATGTCAGTAGGAGGTTCCTGCTAGTCATGAGGAACATATCAGTTAATGATTTTAGTGCTTTTCTAAGTATGGGGAGAGGCAAGAAGCTGGGTTCATAAAAAGTTTCATCTGAAATATTTCTAACTAAGGGGCTGCTTTGCCTGTTTTCCCGGAGCACAGGATGCCTCATTCCTGATCTTTGCCCTGAATTCCTTTCAGGGTGTCCTGCATGTAAGTCTGCATCTGCAGTGGCTCATGACTCAGTCCTTGTAAGAACTGGATGGTGGGCAACATTCTTTGTTTTCCACTTTTGTCCACCTTCCTCCAGCTCCCCTTCTCCCACCCTCATTTCTCACTTCATTTTAATTTACTATAGTAGTTCCCCCTTATCTGCAGTTTCACTTTCTGTGGGTTCAGTTAACCAAGGTCGACTGTGGCTCAAAAATATTACGTGGAAAATTCCAGAAATAAACAACGCATAGGTTTTAAACTGTGCTCTGTTCTGAGTAGCATGATGAAGCTCGTGCCGCCTTGCTCCGTCCCTCCCAGGGTGTGAATCATCATTTTCTGGGCATGTCCCACCTGTTAGTCACTTAGTGGCCCTCTCAGTAAATGGCCCCAGAGCACAAGAGTAGTGGTGACATTATTCTCTTACCGTGCCTAATTTATAAAGG